TCCCTTTTTTGAGGAAAAATTCTGTTTGCTCTCAACTACCACGTGTACAGGCAGCTGCCGACTAACACCTGTCAACGCGCAGACTGGAACCTAGAACCCGAGCCGTGTAGTGATGTAGCAAGGCCTGCTCTACCTCAGCAGGCAGCAGCCTCGACTATTCCGTGTCACTTGCGCAGAAACACAATCGCGCTCGCAGCCCGTGGGAAGGCTGTCTTCCCTGGACAGCCTCACCAGCCACAGGGACAATATTGTGGGGACAGATTCTGCAAACAACGGTCGCCTGAACCCACGATCTCAGAACAGCAAAACCAAAAGCACCACTTTCTGCGGGGAAGGAACAGGAGGAGAAAGGAACAGCACAGAGCAGGCGTGCTCGCTCCAGCCAGGTGGTGCGGACACCTCTCCGCCGCCGTTACGAAGCCTCAGCAGCGCTCAGGGCCTTAAGGAACAGGCTGGGAAGCGGCACTCACAATGACGCAGTTCTTGCCTATGTGGACGTAGGAGCCAATCTGGGCCGCGTTGACAACGCAGTCCTCTTCTATGAAGACATGATCACCGATGTGGAGGGGGAAAAAAGCCACCCTGCGACAGGAGAGTTAGTTGTTCAGGTGCACAGCACACAGACTGGTCCGTGACTCCGTTACACCCAGAATCACACCCTGGGGTCGCCCGTCCCCAGCTGCACTACCAGAGGCAGGGCCGGGGCTAAGGAGATGGAACAGCCACTGGTCTGTTCTCACCTCCTTCCACAGGACAGCCCAAACGAGCAACAGGAAGGTGTTCTGAATGAGCACAGAACAAGCGCAGCACCTTCTTCGCTCAGCTATGTTAATATATCCCAGCCTTTCCACCCTGCGGTCTGCAGGGAACGCTAACCCTCACGGCAAAGCTCAAAGTCCGAGGAAGAGGCAGCTCTAGAGGGATGAATTTCTGCAGATTGCCGCAAAAAGACCATAGCCCTCTGAATGCAGACCTCAGCCAAGCAGCAACATTTCAGGCACACAGATCTTAACTTCAGTCTCCCTAAAGGAAGGGGATCTCTTACCCTTTACTAAACTTCTTGAAGGGTGGTCTGATGACACTGCGGCTTTTCACCACGCAGTGTCGTCCCACCCGCACGTTGGCCAGGTCACCGCGGATGATGCAGTCGTTCATAACTATTGTCTGAAGAAGAAAACAGTGAAAAACAAGCTCCATTTTCTACCCGTGTCACCAGATATTGTAGAGACTCACGCAGAGGCCAGGCTCAGTCCAGGCTGGTTACATTACCTTACAGGGGATTCTTTCAGTGGAAAGAAAAGCGAGAACAAAGCAAATGACACAGGAGCCTGGGACCACCAGACGCCCTCCCACGGTGTCACTGAGCTGCCCATAGCGAGCCAGCACGCAAAGCGCGCCTTGAACACGGGG